TGTACAAGCAATCATTTTCCCACATCACTCAACTCTGCCTAGGTCTCAATCTCAACATATCTTGTAAGTTTTCCATGTCCAGAGTCATTAACAGATGGTAAATTTTGGAAATTTGCCTTTTAGAGTTCACATTTGCTACTAACATAATTCCTTCAAAGTTCTTATGGCCTGTGTTTTTATGCTTCATCTTTGTAGTAAAGGAACTTATTTGCTTAATATCGAGCCAGTTGTTACCTAACATATCCAGTGCCTCCTGCAAAGTTCTTTTGCTCTTGTATAGAACTCACATGGTCTGTACTGTTCCTTGCCTTTCTGGCCCTTAAACTATTGCACTCCATGAAGTAATGAACTATTAGGTTGGTAAAGCAAAGGCTGGGCTGGTGCCAGACCTTTCATCCAAACCTTAAGTGTTACTCTGAAATATGGATTGGAGACCCATGACAGAATTTTTGGACATTTGCCTATACAGGGGAACTGCATTTACTCTTCAGCACAAGAGGTTTCTGGAGTGTCTTACAAAAATCTGTAACAGGACGCTCCCTGCCCTCAGTTTTGTAGACACAATTTGAGAGGAAAAGAGATTGGGGGGAGGAGAAAAAAAATCAATACACTAGTTCTTAGTTACAAAGTTCTTACAGACCAATGGAAATAGGTCAAGGAAAAGAAAAGCCAAAAGTTGCAGATCTCTTAGCTGCTTCTCACCATAACCAAAACAAGGAAGAGATAGCATGGGATGCAAGAAAAGAAAAGAAAAAAAGAAAAGAAAAGAAAAGAAAAGGTTTTCAAAAGTGCCCTAAAATGTGTATTATAGTTGTTCATCCCCAATGCATTTTGGAAAAAGTTTTGATTCTGCAGGGAAATCTAAAACGTATAAAAAATAATACATTGGTATCATTTAAAAAAAAAACTGGAACATCTTGAAAACTTTTAAACACATCTTAACAAAGAAATGCACTTCAGAATAACCAGTTGAATATTACACCCCTCAAACTCACATATGTAAACAGAAAACCAGTGCTAGTATAAACCAAACACATTAACTTAAAATACAAAGTCATACTGAAGTCATACTGAACCCACTTGTATCAAGAACAGCAAATACGCTTTATACAAATTTAGTTGGGCATGAACAAGTATTCACTGACAGCAGGCTATCTTAGGGGCACAGGGTAGACACCTCGGCACATACAGACCACTACACCCTCCAAGGTTTTGCTGTCATCCCTCAGCATCTGCTGCCTCAAGTGACTGCCTCACTCTGTCCAGTGGCTGGACCAGCACTGTTCACATCTCTCCCTGTCCTGCAGCCTGATGGAATGGTGGCTGCCAGGTGACAGTTGATGGAGGGAGGAACCTGACAGAGTGGGCTTCTCAGCAGAGCAAAGATACAGGAAGGATAAGATGGGATGACAAATCTACCTTCCTACATATCCATCAATTGATTTAAGTGCATTCAGACACTGAATGTCTTTCATGCATGCACACCAACAGTAGGAGAAAAGTTCCACTCTTAGGCAGAGTAATAACCCATGGGTGCAGAATCCATGGTATCCATTGTCCTGCCATTTCACTATGGCCAGGATGGGAAGGTAGGTGGTCCCTTCCTCTTCCTTCTCCCCCACTGATGACAGCAGGATGCAATTAACACTGATTCCACTGATTCCACTTGTGTGGGCATATCAGAATTTTAGATTTGATGGATCCATGCTTGCACCCAACACACTCAATTTTCTTCTGCATCTGCTACAGGAAAAGCTATGCTGCCACAACTTTTGGCTGGTGAGCCAGGGAAACTTTGGCAATATGTCGTTCCATCAGACAACCTCACTCTCTGCTGGCTGAGTGGGACCTTCTAAGGCTTGTTTACAAAGCTATTGTACTATCAACTTTACTATATGCTTGTGAAACATGGACCACTTACAAACGCCATCTCCAACTCCTCGAAAGATTCCATCAACGGTTTCTCTGAAAATTTTTACACATCACTTGGGAAGACAGGCAAACTAATATCAGTGTACTGGAAGAAGCAAAGATCACCAGTGTTGAAGCAATGATTCTTCAACATCAACTTTGTTGAACTGGTCATGTTGTGCGGATGCCTGATGATCGTCTTCCAAAGCAATTATTCTATTCCAAACTTAAAAATGCTGGTGGTCAACAAAAGAGGTTTAAAGACTGTCTCAAGGCAAATCTAAAAAAATGCAGTATAAACACTGACAACTGGGAAACACTGGCATGCGAGCGCTCCAGTTGGAGAACAGCCTTTACCAAAGGTGTCATGGGCTTTGAAAACACTCGAACTCAGAAAGCAAGAGAGAAACATGCTAAGAGGAAGGCATGCTTGGCAAAGCCACACCATGATCAACTCCTGCCTGGAAACCAATGTCCCCACTGTGGAAGGACGTGTGGATCCAGAATTGGCCTCCACAGTCACTTACGGACTCATTGTTAAAACCGTGTTTATGGAAGACAATCTTACTCAGCTACGAGTGATTGCCAA